TTTTCGATAGAACTCGTCGAGAACTATAAGAAACGCTACTCAGAACTACTCGGTACTCTCAAAAAATTTTCCGACGTGGGATTTGGAAAAAAATTTGAAGTCAAAATTTTTTGGAAGTACCAAGTAGTTCTGATCGGAGTTCTGAACAGTTCTCGGCGAGTTCTGTCGAAAAGTATCAGGGCTCAAAACGATTGGACCAACGGTTTCCGAGATATACTCTAAAAATTGTTGATCTTCTGACAAATGTCGCTGTATCTTGCAAACCGTTGGTCCAATCGCTTTTCCACCTTACAGTTTTCGATAGAACTCGTCGAGTACTATAAGAAACGCAACTCAGAACTACTCGGTACTCTCAAAAAAATTTTCAAAGATTTCTACTATTTTTTTAAAACTTTATTATTTTTCAAAAATATTTTTTATGTATCAAGAACTCTGGGTATTCACAAAATACTTCTGTTCAGCTGATCAGAACTATGCGCCTTGAATTTCGTTAAAAAGTTAGCACCCCATTTTTAAAAAATGTAAAAAAAATCTTTATTGAGCGAAACTCTTGTTATTAACTATAGGGAACTCTTCGTCTCGTCAAAAGGAAGTGGTAACTCTAATCAGAACTCCTGAGTACTATAGTTGGGGTGCTAACTTAACATACCCGTATATCTTGAACATTTAATCCACTCACGATGGCGACATTTTAGAAAACAGCATGATTTCTAAACGTGCCTTCCATTGTAATACTGATATAATTATAAATGCATAACAATAGGTTTATTTAAGATAGTGTCAAAGAGATTTGATTCGAGCTACCCTGTAAGGATACTACCTAAAAGATACCCTATAAGGATAGAGTCTGTCCATGAGATGACAAACTTTTGATTAGCTAGTCTTTTTTGTCAATCGTACCTTATTATTATGAAAGGAGCAATAGAGTAACTCAATCTCTTTAAATTAAATACAATCTTGTCATTTTTAACTTCCATGTGTGTCAAAATGCATAAATCAATCCATTTCTGTTAGTTTCAAAGTAAACTATCATTATATTCAAAGTAAACAATCGTTAACACATTAACGTATGCATTTAATAAATAATAAATTAAAAATTAGAGTTAAATTAAGTATATTTTCTTCAGTAAAATTGTTTAACTCCATTGTTTTAGTCAGATTAACATGTTAGGTAGAAGCATGAGTAACAACCTATAGAAATAACTAAAAGTAACTCAAATTATAAATAGCAAATGAAAATGTAAGGAGATAATACAAGTTAAAGAATGAGACAGCATATGCAAAAACAATATGTATATCTTTCTTTCTTATTCTTGTTTTGGTAAAATTACTCGTAGCCAGACTCTCCCTTTCTTTTATAGAGTCTCTAGTTCGAGTTTGTAACGTAGAACTTGAGAATTTAGTTATGTTAACTTGAACGAGGTTCATCCATTGATCGATGCTCACGGGGTTTATTTCTGTCTCTATATTTCCCTGACAAAGCCGCAGGTTTCGGATAACACGAAAGTCAGTTAGTCGCACGAATGGACGATGCAGAAATAACGAAGAAAATAACTCTGATCTTGTGGATAATTTGGATGTCAAGAATTTTAGAAATTAATTTCGACAATTATATAATATCAAAATAAAAGCAATAATAATTTTTCCTAATAAACTGCCATATTGATGCTATTACGAAATGTTTTAACAACATTTTTTAGAAGAAAGGTGAGAGATTGTCTCGATCTGTTAAATATCACGAGCAAAATTCCATTTCTTATCATGAGATCCGCATTGCGTGCTGTGCATTAATTACACGCACTCCGTTTCTTTGCACTGCAGATGCTTTAGAATTACCATTAATGCGATATTGAGAATTCCCCGGCTGTTTATACCTTATCCTCTGTCTTTCCGGATTTGCTGCAGACGACCGGCGATTCTCAGATACGATGATCGTTACGCGTTTGGCCACGTAATTCGATCTCGCGGCAGTGATGTTTCCCACTTTTGTGAGTTAATTGATACCCCTTGGATACCGTAATATAATTCGACGCCGTTCCCTCTCGGGTAGAGTCGCCAGTCGTTGAAGATCGATCTCTCGTCTCTTTCTCTCTCGGTTGCTGCACCGCCTCGCCTCTCTCGCCTCGCCATGGTGTCGACTGCTATTCACCGTGAAAACCGTACGTACACTTGCGCTCTGGTCACCAACAAGGTCGCACAAGGTCGCACAACCATGCTGCATCCATACGCCATATGCAGCGGTGTGCATGCGTGCATACGATATCGGCACGCGGGTCGATCTCTGAGGAAATAGGAATCTGAAATTGCATTAACATTACGTAGACTATACGATTCTCAGCTCCGGTTTTACCAGTATAAAATTAACTTTAATCTCAGTTCAACCTATTTTTCTTCTTTTTTCTTGATTCTTAGATCTAGAAAAAGATGAAGAGTGTTTAATCATGATTAAAATTAAATTACGTTAGTAAAACAGACATTCAGAAAAAGATAAACAGTAAATTAAATCGTTAATTAAAGTTAATTTTACTAATTGGTGGAATCGGATTTCAATTGTGTATCTTTTTTGAAATTAAATATTTATTCCCGATCTATCGGTGTTTGTCGTATAATTAAATTTATTATTGAATTCTCCATTTATTCTTTCTCACCGCTTCGCTTTATCAAAGAATCAAAAAAGATCCTGTCGGTTTATCTCCGTGTCTCGCACCATGCAGCCATCTACATACATGTAGCGTGATTTGTGCGCGAAAGCACCAGCGGGGTCTCGGTATCGATCCGAATGCGTAGAAAATGCTATTGATTCCCTCGGCCGACCCGACGACCTCTTCTCTCCATGGCGACGATCCGACTAGAGAGACCGTGGCTTTCCTCCATCCCCTTTTGATCATTTTTCATCTCTCTATATTACAATACATGCATTGCTTATGATTGTATAAAAAATTTTAAATTTCGTGCAAATAAAATTATTATAAAAATAAGTTGTATTGAAATGAAATAAATAAAAAAATTAAGTGTTAAGAGACAATATAAAAAAATTCTTAAACGTATTTAAAAGGATTACATTGTTTAAAAAGTAATACGTGTAATTATCGAATGCTGTTCATGATATCAATTAATCATGACTTCAATAAAAAAAAATTAGAAGTGGAGAAATTGAAAATTAATTAATTTTTAATTGAAACAGGAGAGAATATTTTTCACACATCTTTATTTAATTTCAATAGAGTATCTCTCACCTCTCATTTAGAGATAAAATGTCACGTACATGATGACCGCAATTGGAAGGGGTGAGAGGAGAGAATTGCATAAAAGGCATACAAGCCAAGTGGCTTCGCCTATTCGTTTTCTGCCTACGTCCTCCAGGGTCATACATCCCACGTTCATCCTCCATCGTATTTCTATCTTTTCTTTAGAATCACTTTTGTGGCTTTGAACACTCAGAGTATGCAGAATAAACTTAAAACACCTGTTACAGTGTTTTTACTTATCAAAAATATTCAATATACTTTAGTTCGAAGTTATATTAATTATTTGGTAACATTTATAATAAAAGTATTGTCTTTTAACAATTGTTGTAATAATAATATATTATAAAATTTTCAATATGTTGTATGGAACTTGGAAAATACGAGTTGAATTTGTTGTAAAAAAATTCTCACGCGAAATTCGGTTTAAAAAAAACAATTGCTTTTTAAGAATGACATCTCCTTTATGTTGCTATCATTTTGTAACAGATCACGAGTAAGACGGACACGATAATTCTTGGCCGATGAGGAGCAGAGCAGCACGAGGGCGAGTAGTAGAAGGAGCAGCAGTACGAGCAAGAGCGAGTGGCTTCGTCGTCGTAGAAGGTGGTGGCGGTGTGGAGAAACAGAAGAAGGAACGAGGACGAAGTGGCGGCGGCAGCAGTGGCAGTGACAACGGCGGCAAAGCGGCGACGAACAGCCAGGTCCCCCCATGTTAGCGGACATCAACGGCAATCTGGCGGATCTGAGAAGCGAAGCGATGGCGTCGCAGAGATTTTGTCTGCGCTGGAACAACCACCAGAGCAATCTGCTCTCCGTCTTCGACCAGCTGTTGCACGACGAATCATTCGTCGATGTTACGCTGGCCGTTGAGGGCCAGCTACTCAGGGCGCATAAGATGGTGTTGTCGGCGTGTAGCCCTTACTTTCAGGTAAGCTCGACATTTGATGCCTATAATTTTTTAGATTAACATTCAAAACTTGAAATAAATCATAGCAAGTGATTATTGTTGGTCATTTTAATAATTAATATTTACTATAAAGAGACAATATTTTATAATAAATTAATAGATTATACTTAGATCTTGTCATAATTAGAATCCTGTTGACATTGACACGTTTAAAGAAATAGATTATAATGTAGAATTGCTACACACACACACACACACACACAACTTGTCATTTACTAACTAAAACATAAAAATTGAAATTCTGAACTGATAAGATAAATTATATTTGCAGGCCCTGTTCGTTGGACACCCTGACAAGCACCCGATAGTCATTCTCAAGGATGTTCCATATGTAGACATGCGCAGCCTCTTGGACTTTATGTATCGTGGTGAAGTGAGCGTCGATCAAGATCGATTGACCGCTTTCCTGCGAGTCGCTGAGTCCTTGAGGATAAAGGGTCTGACCGAAGTGAACGAGGACAAGTGTGATTTGCCAAGTATAACGTCCTCGCTGTTGGGCGGCAGCCAAAATGCGGTGGCGCCGCCGCCTCCCAGTCTTCATCGGATCAATCAAATCGGTCCGCATCATCATCATCATGTCGCGCAGAAGAGGTTCCATCATATGTCCAGTCATCCGTTGCTTGGCTCGGCGCTGACGGCGCCTAAAAGGAAACGTGGCAGACCCAGGAAGTTGAGCGGTTCGTCGGACACGCCAATCGGCGAAATCGGCGGTCAGGACCTGCAATCCTGTTCTGGCGCTGATCTCGTCCAGGGCTCGCCTGAGATGATGGAAATGAAAATGGGATTGGACTTTCAGAGCGAGGTTAGCGGTAACGGCAACGTGAGAAATGCCGGTGCCTCCTCTTCCAACAACAACGGCGCCAATTCTGCGACAGCCACCAGTAATTCCGCTGCCGCCGCCACGGCCTCTTCGGGATCATCGTCGGCGAGGAGAGACGAGCCTACGGAGAACGGTACTGATACACCGGAACCGCCAGTCACTCGAGTCAAACGAGAACCAGAACCGACGCCCAGTACCTCGGCGCAAGGTATGAAACGGAATACGACTATGTGCTATGTAACATAGAATTAAAATTTGTGAACTTTAACCGATCGTTCCGTCGTTGTTGATTTTAGCCTCGGACGAGACATTCGCGCGGCCGCACAGTAGGCAAGGGAGTGAGGGTTTCAAGCAAGGTAAGCCTTCAACTTACTTAACTTCAATACAACGAAGCCTTGCATTGCTAATATTCCCTAATATATAATATATAGCGCGAACAATGAATTTTACGCGATTTACGTGATTTACCTGAGCATCCCTCAGATATGGTTTAGTGTATATGATTTATCAAACGGAGAGCTGCGCGCGTTTGCAAATTGTAATTAACTACATAATCGATTGTACAACTGTTTGTGCATAATTTATATCACAATTATGCAAATGTAAATGTGTACTTAGTAAAATATTAGCTCCTTCAGATTTTACTATTTTGTACTTGATAAATTTGCAATCGTTTTATATTTTTGCATCCATTGACGAATTAAAGTTTAAGAAAACAAATTTTTTTAATTTCAATTTTATATATAAATCTGTTGGAGTTAATTCTTTTATTTTTAACCCTTGGACAAACGCGTTGTTGCATAGAAAATATTTCTTGTAATCCTGTGATTCTAATTACTGATTTTGAAGATGCATTCTGAAAATTATACAAGGTAAGTCACAAAATACTAAATGCAACATGTGCCCGAGGGTTAATCACAGTCGCAGTTTTATGAATGCAAAAGATAATAAACTCACGCGTCTAATCGAGGAACGATGCCCCACCAGATGTTTTAGCATGGTGTGCAATGTGATTCCCACAACGCGGACGCGGAGAAGAATGTTAGATTATCTTGACATTTCTAAATCTGATAGTTAAAAGAAAAATATGTAATTACGGCTTGTTTTAATAATATTAATAAAATTATGATTCGAGCGCATTAATTCTGATTAACGTTGAGTTACGATTGTCGTCAAATATTCTTCTCCGTGTGAACCCAAAGAACGGGGAAAGAACTCGCTTTTGTGCCGTCCGAATGCTTATTCGTTTCTTGTGAAAGCGTCCCGAGGAGCAAGCAAGCAAGCGAACCTTTGCGCGGCATTATGGACGACGCTGTAGACTCTCTACGTGAGAACGACTCTTACGGCTCTCTCGCACGATTCGTCGAGGTCGATCGACGACGTCTGAGAATCTCAGAATCAGAAGCCCGAGGGCTCGATATCCACAATTAATTTGTACCAAATTTCGAAACTTCGCATCACCCATTCGCAACAAGACGACGTTCGCGCGAATCTACCTCTAATCAAGCGCGTCGTCGCGCGTCGCCGTCGTGGGCGACGCTTTTATCCTAATGTACTGCTAATGAATTTGACTTTTCAGACTTCTCTCGAGCTGCCTTGCCGAGCGGCTCGGCCAGTCGTTGTCGCACTTCTGCAAGCGCGCTCCTTCCGCTTTTTTTTTTTTCTTTTAGGAGCTACCCAGGATTTTCGTGACCTCGCGACGTCGCGAATCGCGCGCGCAGATCACTTCCGAAAATCGCCGATCTCATTCAATTGCGGCGCGCTGACCAAAGTTAGCCGCGCTTCGAAATCTCTCGCGTTTACCTCTGACCATTTTCGAAACAAAACGCACACCAAGAGAAAAAAGTAAGAGGTAGAAGAAAACTATTCTAACGCGAGAAGAAAATCTGCATCCGAAAGAATTTGAAAGAAAAAAAGACAATAAAAATAATTTCCCTTTCCGAAGGCAAACGCGAGCGGTGCGTCTGAAGGGGTAGCCGCATAAGGGATGTCATGTATCGATACGCGCGCGCGCGGCATTCAAATCGCGAGAAGAGACGAAAATCGAGACAAAAAAAAGGATGTAAGAATAGACGAAAATATGCATATATGTATATAGAAAGAGAGAGTGAAAGAGAGGGAGAGAAAGAGAGAGAAATAAACGGAAAAAGTCATCGTCTCGCTAATCAAAAATTCGCGTTTGCAATGTTACTAAGACACCCCGTGAAAAAAAACCCTAGAATGGGGAACTCCCCTCTGTGCGAACGTCTGCGAAATTAATTAATCTCTAATGAAACCCATTGCACTCGCGCCGCCGAGTCATTGTTCTCGTTGACGACGTACATAATATAGATATATTTAGAAATACATACATATATATATATATATAACCCATACGTAATTCTCACGCTCGGCCAATGCGCAGCGCCTCATTCCTGTCTTCCCTTCCTCCCTTCGTTCTCGGTAGCACAAAATCAACCACCTCCTTGTCTCGCCTTTTCATGATCAATCTGTGTCTTCTTTCTGCCGCACCGCACCTGTCGCTCTGTTCGATGTCTCGAACCTCTCTAGCCCTAACCCTAAAGTTCTCCGCTAACATCCCCACATCGTGTTCACTCCATGCTCTTTTCTCCGCACGATTGGAAAAAAACGCTTCGCTGCCATTGGCCAAATGGTAACAGGAGGGGGTGGAGCCAGCTTTTAGCGGTGCTTACTTTTTTTTTATTGTTGTCTGATTTTTCACACCTTGAACGCTGGTTAACTTCTTTTACGCTCGTTCGTTGCGAGGAAGATAGAGTAGTTTCACTTTTTTTTTTATCGCGAAAAGACAAACGGCAAAGAGGAAGAGAGAGGAGAGACGTAAACGCGTCGATGATGATTACCATGATGACGATAATGATGATGAGAGTTATACAACGGACGATGCATTGTCGACAGGTTTATCGTTTCCGTCTTCTCTTGCGTTCTTCTTTAGACGATAATGACGACAATGAGGAAAGATGAAAATGAGAGATAAAAGTAGAAACAGGATAGATAGATTAATATATAAAAATAAAAAGAAGAGTGACAAACCAAAAAAGAGAGAAATCAAAAGAGAGAAAAATAGTGTGACGTACATTTCTTTTTTTTCTATGAAAAATGTATTACGTGCGCGCGCGCGCGAGAGAGAGAGAAAGAGAGTGCTTCGAAGATGTCGTCGGAGATGATCTCGTTTCAATAGTGACCGTGATCGCTTTGTTCACTTTTGGGTCGCAGGTGAGTTGAGATTATCTGAGTCACCATCATTCTGAGAGATTTTTAAGCTTTGCGCGGGGGAAGCGAGGGAGCTAGGGAGGCCAGCCGCTAGAAAAAAAAATACAACGTAGAACGAAAACAAGGATCGAAATCAAAGTCATAGATGTATAAAATAGATAGAACGAAAAGACGGAACCGTTCCGAAAGAGTGTGTCGGAGTGTAAGAGAAAATACCGGATGTAGAAGAATGTGACGCCGGAAGTCGAAAGCGGATAATGATATTGTATATTAGAAGTAATCACGTGTATATAAATTCGAACGAAATTCTGTAAAGCTAATCAATTGAATGAAACACGCAAGGAGGAGAAAAGAGTTGCTTTTTTTTTCTCTCGAGCGTCCTCGATCTCGATGGATCGTTTTCCCGTAGAGATGGATACAAGCAGACTGACTGGACATACTGGACCGAAGGGGTTGGGGAGGGTTGGTTAAAGTATGCACATGTGTCACTGGTGAGCTGTTAATTCATTTCGTGTATGCGTGGTGGTTGCCTAATGCGCGTGTACGGGTTGTATTCGTTGTGAGCGCACGATCCTTCCGATCGATCGTAGATTCCAAGTTGATAGTACTACTTCAACTAATTTGATTTAATATCCTCTGGATTATACAATCCGAGAGATAGACTGCGTTTAGCAGATTTGTAACTGTTGTAAGATTCTTCAATATGATTAGTTCTTGATCTTTTTTGCTGGATCTATATGTGTATAATTATATTAAAGAATCTTACAACAGTTGCAAGCTTACAAGCTGCTTTTTCTGCTGAATGCAGCTGTAGATTTGTATTTTGTTCGAATATCTGAGGTGCGTTCAGAAATTCAGAGTATATTAGCATTTTATTCTCGTTCACTGAATGATAAACAAGGATAAAATAATACTTGGGTGTATTTATTATTATCCAGATGAAGCATTTCTGAATGCAGCCCTGAACGTCGTTGGTTCTCGAGTTACAGGTCGATCGAACGCGAAATGCTTTGATCGGTCGTCGACTCGCGAAGAGGGACAAATCTCTCGATGTTCGTTGTTATAATTCTCAGGTTTTCCTTCCCGGAATCTACAATCAGAATGGAAGTGCCGCGTTACATCCCGAATATACGCGGATTTCCTATGGGCTTGTACGTGTGCTCGCGGATATACAAGCGTGTGTGAAATGTTCATCGGGTGAATGGGGAGGAAAGAGAAGGTGCGTGTGTATGGTGGATGTGTATGGCAGAAAATATGAAGTATGTGAGAAAAGGAACGCGTGAAGAGCTAGGAGTCCGGGAGAAAGAGAGAAAGACTGTGATGTTGTCAGGAAATTGTTCGATTTTGCAACCAGTGTGAGAGAATGCGTGAAAGTGTAAGAATCTGTCTGAAGGGAGATAGACGATGAGCGGGGGTGGGGACGACATGGAGAGGGCGTGTCGCAGCCGTGAAGTATCCTTTAACGCGGAACAGAAGTTGACTGAGACGGCCGATTCAAACACGGTGACTCTTTTTTGCTGGCTCTACCCTTCCTCTTGCTTCCCCCCACAAATATAGAGAATACGTTGTGCCAATACAGTACACAGAGATACATAGTTACGAGATGCGCGGTAGAACTCCGTTTATCAGAACGTCCGCGGAGGAGTTTGTGCAAAAGGAAACGATCGTGCAACGGTATTCTTACCTAATCATAAGATACAGAGATGACTTGAGTGAAGAACATGATCTTCAACAATGTAAAAAATCAAGAGACTGATGACCTATGCTGATGAGGATCCTTTAATGTTCTTTAAGGATCTATTATACACAGATAATAATTGGGAAACTGATAACTCGAAATATCTGGAATACTATCCGTCTGTGATACCATTCTGGAAAACGAGCAAGAGTTTAAGATTTTGGCCTTCTGATAAACGAACTCCTACCGCGCATCCAATGCTTGCACGACATATATTATATCACGCGGGCATGGAGGGCGATTTAAAGGATCGAAGTCTCTTCGTTTCAGAATTGGAGGAGACGTCGAGCGGAGGTGGTGATAGCGGCGAGCCGCCGACTCATATCCGCATCAACTTCGAGCGATGCTTTCGTAAAGAGTTCAGCACGTCGACGCTGCAGGGTAAAG